GAGAGGGAGAGAGGGAGAGAGGGAGGGAGGATTTTTTAATATTTATTTTCTAGTTTTCGGTGGACACAACATCTTTGTCAATTCTAAGAGCCCAAACTGACCAGTCCTGAGCCACATTTGCCCAGACTCTGGAGGCAACACTCCTCTGTCTCAGTCACCCTAGACCAGGTGCCAGGCCACCAGAGAACACTCCATGGGAAACTCAATACAGACAGTGGCCCTAACTTCCCTGCCCTTTTCTTCTCTGGCTCTGGGCCACCTTGGTGTCTTTTTCATGTGAGCCTGAATAGAGTGCCATGCTTTTTATTTTTAGGACCTGTAAGTGTAATAAACTTTGTCTTCCTGAGCCTTTACTGTGACCCTTTTTGTGGCTGTAACTAACTGACCATCTCCTAAAAGAACACAAGACAGTATTCCAAGGCACAAAGGTAACAAGAACACTCAGACAATATCTGAGATCAATACAGAGATGAAGATGCAAAAGCAGATAATTTCTTTCCTTTTTGAGGGGAGGACCAGGAATTGAACCTAGGGGCGCTTAACTACTGAGCCAGATCCCTAGTCCTTTTTAAAAATATTTTGTTTTGAGACAAGTTCTCACAAAGTTGCTTAGGGCCATGCTAAATTGATGACACTGGCCTTGAACTTGAAAAATCTTCCTGGCTCAGCCTCCTGAGCTGAGATTATAGGCCTGCACCACCATGCCTGGCAGACAATTTCTTTTAACAAGGTGCTAAAGCTTCACTGTAAGGTAAGGGTAGAAGTAAATAGATATTACATAGAAATCATTCTTATAAAACTGGACTAAAAGGAATGGAGAGGGGAACAGATGTACCTCCCACTCCTGCCCACAAATGAACTTGAGTGTGAGATGGTAGCAGGAGACAGGGTGTGAGGACAGAAGTCAAGCCATACAAGCCTTGCCTGCCTGGGAGAATAGGGACACTGGTAAAAAGAACCAGGGGGTTGAATTGTTGGGGGGAAAGGTGAATCAGTAAGATGAATAATATAAGACATCTGAGGACTGAGAAATTCAAAAAACATCTAAGAAAAATGGCCCTGAAGGCATTTAGAAATGACAGGTCAGGGCTAAAAATTCTGTAAGGTTGTCACCTAAAACAGTATTACTGAACTAAATCTCCAGAGATCTTAGTTCAGAGCTTCTAGAAACCTTAAGTGAACAAGGCTAGTTAGTGGAAGGGCTAAGTTACAATGACCAGGTCCTTGGATTCTGCCTAGTTATTCACATCAAAGTGATAGTTAAATTAAGAGAGAAGAGATGGGGTGTAACCAGTGGTGGAGTGCTCACCTGGCATGTGAGGCCCTGGGCTCACTCCACAGCATTGCATGCATGCAGAGAGAGAGAGAGAGAGAGAGAGAGAGAGAGAGAGAGAGAGAGAGATCAATAAAGAATGGGTACAAATAAGAGTAGACTAAAGATGAGGGTACCTATATTAGGAGCCAGAAAGACAAAGAGCCAGAGAAGGACCAGTTAGAGCAGAAAAAACATTCAAGACTAGTCTCGGGAGCAGGAAGAAAAAGCTACAAGGAAGACATAATTTAATTAATGTCAAGTGGTACAGGGCACTGAAAAAGAAATTAATTTGAAGAAAATAGAGAAAAGGCAATAATACAGCTAAAACCAATAATTGATGAAACAGGGGAAAACATAATAGAAAGACATCAACTTAACTTACAAATTTCTGGTTAGATGAAATGAGAAAATGAGAGAAAGAGCAAGTAAAAAATTCAAGGATTAAGAAAAGGTCAATAAAATACTACAGTACTATTAATTAAAATGCATTCTGCAGTCATATATAACAAATTAGAATAAATAAATTTTTAAAAAAGACAATACTACAGATAACAAAAGATAAGGAGTATCATAAACCACTTCATGCTAATAAAATTAAAACAGAAATGGAAACCAGGAGCAGTGGCATACACCTGTAATTCCAGCAACTCAGGAGGCTGAGGAACTAAGCAATTTAGGGAGACCCTGTCTCAAAAACAAAAACAAAACCCCAAAACAAAACCTAAAAAACTTAGAAATTAACTCTCCAGAAAACATAAGAGTGACTCAAGAAATAGAAAATCCAGAGTCCCACAGCATTTATAGAAACTGGATTAGTAGGTAAAAATCTGAAAAAGAGAATACAAAGCTTATACAATTTGAGTATCTAAGGGTGCTTCAAATTCAAGGAACATGTAATTCCAGTGTTTCACAAACTTTTCTAGAGAACAATAACAAAACAAAATAAGAAATACTTCCTAATTCACTTAATGAGGCGAAATAACTTTAACCAGAAAAAAATACAAAAAAGAAAAAATAATACAAACTAGTTCAATTAATAAACACATATGGTAAAATCTTAACAGCAATAGCAAACCTTATAATAACCTTATAAAGATAATACATTATGTGTAAAGTGGGCTATTCCAGGAATACAAGGTTGGCTTGTGGTTTTTTTAAACAAACAAACAAATAAAAAATGAATAGGATTCACCAAATTTACTAATGGGGGAGGGAGAGTGGGAGGTGGCAGAAGCAAAGGGGTGGATTATAGCGTCATCTCAAAGGATGCAAAAGATACTCAGATAAAATGCAATATCCACTAAAAACTCAAGGTACAGGAATATAAATTTTCTCAACTTTATACTATGAAGCAACGCAAATAAACAAATGAATCTGAGGTGATAGCCAAACACCGAAAGCCACTAAGGTCAGCGTGCTAAGGCCACCTCCACAGCCACCACAAGAGGGGCTTTGCCAGCACAAGCAGCAGGGAAGGAGACATC